GATATGATGTGATAAATAACTAAAACTTCTGCGATGTTTTAACCGGGCCTTAGAGTCATTATGACATTACAATAATGTCAAGGGACAGCGTAGTAGAATGTAGTTCTTTGGATTGTGCTCTTCGGCAACATGTGGGGCACCAGATGTTCTCGTGGTCCTGTATACAAAGCCACATTTGGACCGCCATATTCGGAAGGAGGGTGATCGAGGTAGACGAAAATGGAGTTTTGAGCCGATCTAAAAGTAGAACTAAATGACTTAAAAGGCTTCAACACACGAAGTGGCATAGCCTTAGACCGGTATTGCTTGGAAATCAAGTCAATTTTTCGCGTAAATCCAATAGTAGCAGGCTGTAGGGAAGTCAAAAATGCAACCAACGATTGACGACTTGTTATTCCATATGCCAGTTTTACTTTTCAATACAAATGCTTACGTCGCAGATGAGATCGCATCAGATTATCTGTCTTTCCGAAAAATCTATGTACACTAGCAGTATTTCAAGGCAGTACAATGAGCTTCAGTGAAGATTGACTTGAAAAAACTGAACTGAACTGAGCAGGATTCGGGTGTGTGAATCCGAATACCGAATACCGAAAGCAAAATGGAATGGACAATATGTCCATTTCCATAGTTTTGTCCCTCTTCAAAGGAAGAGAAACGTAATTCGCTCTTTGGTTCAAAGAGCGAAGAAAATATGCACGACGGACACTATCGACAATGAACCTCAGTTCCTACTTACTGTTTTTACTCAGAATGGCTACCCCGAACGAATTATCGATAGGGCAATGCTAGAACACGAGGAACGGCCAAAGGAAATAGGAGCAGCGAAGAAGTCTGTCTATGTGCACCTGCCGTTCAAGAGAGATACGGAGGCAGAAGTTTTTTAAAGAAAGCTCACAAGTGCAGTAAGTAGAACATTTTACGCTGCACAATTCACAGCTATGCTCACATCCAAACCAACTGTGTTTCTGACTAAAGGATAGATTGCCAGATTCTGCAGCCTCATTCTGTGTATATTCACTCACCTGTTCCTGTGGGACTGGGTACATTGACAGCACGGCCAGGCGCTTATACGATCGGCTTGCCTGAAGACTGGAACAATTAAGACAATTACGAGCGCGGTGTGTTCACATCTCGTTGAGTCATATCATTCGGTAGAAGTAGCATGCGCGACCGATTTACAAGGTTCGATGCAAGCAATCAAGAGAAGTGAAGCATCGTATCTTAGCCACGACCGAAGCCGTAACTATTCGGATTCAGACCCTCCCCCTCGCCCTTGTGCGCCCAGAAGAAATTTGTGCAAGCACTTAATCTCCCCTGGCCCACTTCAGCCACTCCAACACGCGTGCAATCACTTGGACTTTTGACACTGTGATCGATTTCACACAAACACGCGCACGCATGATTGGACCCATAGTTGAATCATTAGGACTCGAATTTCTCATTCCTTGTTTCGTTTTTATTGTTAGTCATATTTAATGTTATGTAATGATATGATTACGACTAACTGAAAACGAGCTTGTTCGCCTTGCTGTTGTTCTCAGTGTGTTCTGTGGGACTAATGAAATGATTGATCTAGTTATTGATATAGTTTTGTTGTAATAAGTGGAGCTCATTCATCTGCTCGCCATCCTTGTACATCCAGTTTATTGGCATTGTATTTCTCCATATATATTGACACTAATCTGTCGATGTCGTTAAATTTTATTTCTGTTCTCTTCGATCGGTTAAGCAGTTTTTTGAAGGGCAGTAACAAAAACAGATGCATGATTGTGCAAGTTTGGGGTCAGGCAAACAGAAACTCTTCCTCAAGATAACTAAAATAAATTCAAACTCAATAGGAATGAAACGAACTAGAACAAATTTCAGCAAACAGTGAACGTGAAATCTGCCAATCAGATTATCTTGCTTGAACGCATTACCGGGAGATTTTGTTCGCTGGAAGTGTAATGGGAACGCTTAAAAAACGAACGGGAAAAAATGGACATGATTCACAGCACCACAGTCTTCATTTACCTAAGGCTTAGTTGTTTGGATTGTAGAATGGTGGTAAATTTCATTTTGCAAATAAAAATAGTTATTATTATTATGTTAGTGCTCTTTTTTATTTATTCGGGATCCAATTGTACAGCCAATTTTAATGATGGGTTTTGGTTAAACAAAGACTAAATCAGCAAATTTTCTCAATTTGCTGATTTGCTGAGAAATAGAAATGATGAGTTGTGGTGGTGGAATTAGAACACCCCAACTCCGGTGGCCGGGTCTATGATAACCTTAACTACTTGACGAACATTAACAGCATGCAGGAAATTTTCGATAAAACCTAATCTCGAGGCACGATACGTTGGATGGTCGTCTTTTGTAGTTTCTGGTGCCTTCCAGATTGAATATGATAAGTGCAGGTTTCAAGTCAAGTCTGTATTGTGTGCCCCGGGAGATGCATTGCATTCAACCACCAGTATAGCACGATAATAAGCGTAAACAATGAGTACGTTGAAAATGTGTTCAAAAGACGCTACACATAACCTTTGCACCTGATTCTTTCGCTTTCGGGAGTGGTTCGAAGTCTGGCACTTTTTCAGAGCGCCAAACAGAGGAAACAGTGAACAAAGCGATCTGTGGGCCAATGACTTAGAATAATGTACAGAGTAAGCTCAAAGTAAGCAAAGCTGCCCGCTCTCAAAGAGAAACTTCAGGGAAAATCTTCGCCTTTCGGGGCTTACAGTTTTGCTTACGTTGCGGCAGCAAATGAAACCGCTTGACTAAGGGTGGCGGTGGTTGAGTGATAGGGTCGTCTAAATAACCACCTGGGGCTCCGGAGTTCGAAACCCCACCACTGCCGCCCAGTTTCCGATTATCTTTATTTCCCCGGGCAATCTTTGTATGGCAGCGGCCCACCTCCTGAAAGTGTATGTTACATCTCTACAATCGACAAATAAAATAGAAAGTAAAAGCATTTCAATATTTCATTATTTATTACCACAAAACGGGTGCGTAGTAAGTACGCACTGCCGACGAGTCCCAAACAGGACGAAACAGCTGTCTAGTACTTTTTACATCCCTGCCAGGAGAGCTGTTCAGTGTTCTTTTTCGATTATCACAAGCATTTCCATCGTATTTAAACGCATTCATTTAGTGGGGAAGTAACTATCTTCCAAGAAGTAAAGCAGTGCCTGGTGCCTGTGGGAAACTGCATGGATTAATCCAAACATTCACCGTCAGTGGGACGTGGGGTCACGAGAACGACTTACAGTTATCCAGGATTATACAAATAGTGATAGCCTTTTAAGGGGTGCTTCAAGGGATATTCAGTAGAGGTAAACACAGTATTCGACCCACGGTTGCCTTCGTATTGATCAGCGACTTTCTCAAACATGAGGAACATTTACCCCCATGATGTACTCCGGTTTCTATTTCTCAACTAAGATTCATCATATGGACTCCGCGGTAATCAGCACAACTCAAGCTGGCTACAGTGCATTTCGACGTGTATCATCCGCAAAAATGACATCTGTAATTCGTCAGAACACAGGTCCCCAAACAAACTCGCTTTCGGCGATAATTCAACTACCTAAATACAATCTATTGAGTGACAAATATATAAAACCTTAGGAAGTAGATGTTTCAGTTTTGACAACCATTGACCATGCATTTTCATGCGCCGGTTTCGGTTGCTGTCTTTTGGCTGCCAGTTTGGATAAACAAGGAGAAGGAAGATTGAAATGTTGAGAAGAGAGTCAGAGAAAATGGAGAATTCTCCTAGACTGGGTATACGAACACAAAAATGTACTTGGAGTCCAGGAATGTTGCCCAAGAGAGCAGCCAATATAACCTTTAGAAGTAACCAGCGATGAACAATGAACGCTGGTTGTGCATTGCGTTCGAAAAAGAGATCAGCTCTTTCATCTGCAGTAAACCTCAATGAAACGTCGCTGCAATTGACAGGAAAAGTGCGCTGACAAGATATGACGAAAGAAGAGAATGTTCAAATGTGTGCAAGAGTATACAATTTATCACTTATACATCCTAGCACCTTCCATTCCACCAGGATTTTATTTAAATACTGCAGCAACGGAAATAAGGATGATTGACTATTTAGTATTCATAAGTTCGCATGTTTGCTATTTTCCCAAAGGCCGGTTAATGCTATAATAGCTGAAGTTATCATCTAGAACCTTTGTTAGTAAAGCTAATGAGAATCATGGGCAGTGTGGGCTGCTTCAGGACCATTAGATTTAATCAGTAATGCGAGTCCACCCACGCAATTGAAGACTGAACCCGGGGTCACTCGTTATGCGATAAGTATCGCACAGATGTGATCAGGCTATGCAAAGATGCGACGCGTATGATGAATGATGCAACAAGGATAATAAAAGAATGATGATATGCGACAAAGCTGAGTAACAAAGGGAGAAGCTGTAGGTGACAGAATGTTGCCATTGGCAGTGTAGATGGAACGCAATAATCAGTTCAGGAGTTACAGAGAGAATGGATAATTTCTGATGGCCTAGACTGAACTTTAGTTCACACGATCAACGGTCAAGAACAACGTAACCGATTGAGGTGAGGGCGGACACAAACACTCAACCCCAACCCCACGGAAACGCTCATCCTCGCTTAGTAACTCACTCAAAAAGTACTTGTGTTTGTTTATGGGGAAATCAGTTCACACGGACTGCATGGAGTTTTCATAGACCCGGTCCAATAGGTGACGTGTGACGGCAGAATAACCAATCACTTTGTTGGGTTCCTAGTCGAATGCGATTGGTTGGATTCACTTAAAGTTGAAAACCTATAAATCTCTCCAGGTCTATGCTGTTCAACCTAGCTATATTGTGCTATCTTTTCCATTTTATTTCCGGAAATAAGTGTCCCAAACACTACTTTTTTGAAGTTCTCCTCCGGTACTCAATTGCTTATTGCTACATTCTGATTTCAAGAACCTGTGGTTATGTAAGCACTGTATCACCCACACTTTTCCTGCCGGACCGAGCGATAATTTACAAATCGATATAGGGATACTCACGTATGGTGGGTGTTTTGTCGAAAACAGAGTCATCTTGTGTAAGTGTGTCCGTTTCCACTTCGAAATCAGTGCCTTCGAATTCGTCCATTACTTGTGCAATTGCTCGTTCCGCGTCTCCAGCGTTAAGCGACTGTAGAAGGTCAAAATCAGCACGATAAGTTACACCGCCCACAATGATCGAGTCATCGGCAAAAGTGAATTAGTTCATAGTTTACAATTAGGCGGTGGTCACAGCAGAGTTCTTCAGGCCCTAGAGTCCGCGGTTCTCGTCCGGGCAACGTGACGTGCCCTCCCTCCCCGCCACATACAAACTGCAATTGATCTCGGAACTAACGGTGATAGTGTGTGTGTATGTGTGTGTGTGTGTGTGTGTGTGTGTGTGTGTGTGTGTGTGTGTGTNACCACTTAGTTATTGGCCTCGACCTCGTTAGTGGTTTCGTGATTTTATCCGTTTTCCCCAATTACGGTCTCGCTTATTCGGCGTATGCTGAGACCATTTTTCATTTTCCATGGTTCCGTCTGTCAAGAGGTTCTGCCCCAAAGGTGCGCATTCATATGCGATTCCGCGATTGAAGATGATGCATGTTTCTAGTTAGTCAATGTGTTGCCAATAGATGATGCCCTTTGCTAGCATAAGAACCTTTTGCAGTTGTTGAATGAATGCGAATGCAACGGATTATGGGTACACCAAACTGAGGGAATCATTTTCTAAGTCAATCAGTTACAAACTATCAGTAGATATTTTATTCACAGGACTGCAACTACGAATTCCCAGTGTGTTGTGCTTTTCGAGTGATTTCTCCCATTCTTTACTTTGTGAATCTAAAGAGCGGTTCACTAAAAGCCGTCATTGTAAACCGGTAAGCAAACTTTACGACTGCATCGTTCAGTTTAGACCAGACCAGTCTCAGAAGACTGATAATGATGATGAGGAGGAGGAGAAAGAGTGAATTTCACGGTATCAGTTTCTTTGACAGTTCCAAGGTTACGTTTTGACGTGAGTGTTCTCTTCTTCCCCACAAAAACGACCACATACACCACGTTTTTACATAATATGTCTTGTTACATTTGGTTTATTGATATCCTAATAACATACTGATAAACTCCTGAAATACCCTCCAACTGGTTGACGCAATCCTAAGCCAGTCTGACACACTTACTTTGGCCAATTCTTGTGCACTTCGGAAGGCCTCTAACGCGTCTGAACGCTTCTGCATTTGTAAATTTGACTGACCAATTAGTACGGTGATATTCAATTGCCACGCCTCATCCGACATTTGTTTAGCCAGGTGCAAAGCCGATAATCCATGATCCAATGCCCGGTCTGAGTGTTCTAATTCCAAATGACAACGTCCAATCTCGTAATGCAACCAAATTAACTCGTATTGGTCGTCCGTATCGTCCAGTTTCTTCTCCCATCTGGGTGGAATGAGAATCAGACAGTTTGAGTGAAAAATAAAGCAAATATTAGGTTGATTGGGTGATACGGGTGTGCGAGTGTAAACCACCAAGCACTACTTAGCATCCCGTATTGAATGTATCCAAATAGCGAGGATCGGAAGTGATTTGAGAAGCATGTGATGTGATGAAAGCGGATAACATAATGCAGTTACACGGATTACTCACACGTGTGCTCAAAAGAGGTTGATTGAAACGGATGAAATAGATTGTGAACGGGTGAGTTGGTAGCGCGATGATATAAGTGTATGCTCGCAACTCACTGTACTTCTTTTCCTAAAACGTTGCCATGTTTCCGAACGCGTATGGTTTGAACTCGTGTCTGTTTTAGGGTGTTGAAACTTTAAACCAATCACAGCCTCATTCAAATGTGTCGTCAACAAGAAGACACATCGGTAAGCGATTGAATGTTTCGCTCACCCTCGTTTTGTAAACATTTTGTGCAAGAATGGTACAGTTTTTTTAACTGATAATGTTGTGCTTATTCCAGGAAAATAATAATTGTTCATCAGAACTCAGTTGAAGCTGTTCTACAAAGCTGAAATTCCAGTTTTTCACCGTTCACAAAGGCATTATACCTGCAATTGAGCTACCGTGGTCAGTCATCCTTCGACAGCCTTCACACTCAGGAGGGCTCAAATATTGTAACTCGAACGCAGCGAACTTTTAATTTTCTATATCATCGTTGAACAGATGAATCGTTATTTTACTTCTCATTGAAATACTCCGTTTGAATAGACAGCCTATGTTCCCCAGGGGAAAAATAAGTCCACTTGAGGGAGTCTGGAGGGACATGTGACACTCATGCGCTTAATCTCGAGAAATGGAGCATATTTTAGTCTCATAACGAATGGATTTTAATTTATGCTAATAAGCAGTTTTCAATTCTTTTCATAAAAATCTCTATTTCCTTTTTTTGAAGGTAGACAATCACATCTTTTCTCGTTGCTATTCAGTCTTGTTTCATCGCTTTTGGTCCGCACCACATAGGTTTTAACCCGTTTATGATGTTGCTTACCCTTGGCACATCGTTTATCAACTCGCTTAAATCTTTTCTGGACCGTTTGCGTGTCATTATTACAGTGCTCCACTCCTAAAGCGTAATTAAATAGAGTGGTCACTCTCTTCATACGAGCACAGTCCCGAGTTCTACCGATTTTACCTTTGGATCCCCTTCAAAATCTAAAACCTTCCTCGAGCGGTCTGACCGCCGGATTGTGTCTGGATGTCGATAGAAAAAGCTACCTATTCGAGGGCTGAATATAGCTTGAAAACACCTTGTTCAGAGCGGTGTCTGCTATTTGTGTGCCTTTGTTTGTTTAAGACAGAGATTGGTACATGCAGTAACAGCTATTGTAAATGCACCTTTACCGTGTAACGAAATGAATAGGAAGATTACTAGGTCAACTAGTTTAATCATTCCTAACTACCTAATCACGGCAATGAAACAAGAACGCATCCGCAAGCCATGTGTAGTCGATTAATGTAGATGGGAAGTAAAATAACTCAGTGAAATAAATTCGAACAGTGTCTGTGCCGTTTTGAAACATAAAAGGCCTCAACGTGGAACTTACTAGTGCAAGAGAGGTGGATTTAACGCAGAAACAGCATGAGGAAGAAATATGATTATCACTTGTAGAAGATAAACGAGGGTTATTGGAAGTCAAACACCAATATCTAGGTTGCATTGAACGAGTATATGGGAACTACCGGGTTCTTGGTCGCGCCCTATGAATTGAGATTGATTCCTATAGGTTATCCTAAATGAAATATGTTTCCGGGCGTGCCACCTAATAAGCGGTCTTGGCGTGCGATATTTCCCAAGGTCAGCTTATTTCTTTAAGCTAATCCTTCAGGTTGGATTTTAACCGGTTGGTTGGATATGTCAGGTAATATGATTTATACATTCATCGTACGAATACATATGCAATATATATATATATATATGTTAGATGTCTTCTTATTTTGTCCATTTTCTTTCCCCAATATGGTAGCCCTTTGATTGGCCGATTCCCCCTTCCTGAAAATTGTACATTTCTAAATTCAATAAAAGGAAGTAAAAATGAAAATGAACATGAAAAGTGTGCTGAAATAAAAGCTGGGCCCGGGCGCATATGGATAATGTCTGTGCACCTTTTATTAAAACCATTACAGATTTCACAAGTGAAGCGTTAGCCCATAGATCATGGAATCACTGTTTTCTTTAAACCGGGTAGTAACGAATATCTGCAAGAAAATTACTATTGTATTGCATTAAAAGACGAATGTTTTGCTTTTTGTGAAACTTTGTGCACATTTTCACCACCCTATTGAATTTCTGAGTTTTTCATGAGAAAACAATTGGGCGTTATTGCAATGGGATGTAAAATTTTCGCTACTTAGTAACTGAAAAAAATCTAGCAAACAAGTGAAATTCACCCAGTGATTGTTTGTGATTCCAGGGTGTGAGGAGATGTGCAAAAACCACAGTCGATGTCTTTGATGAAGTCACATCAGTCGTCGTCGTCTCGATGGAATCACCGAAACAGATGAATCAAGTTTATCGGTTTCGTGTATGCGGTGTCGAAATCGATTCCAACAGAGTTAACCAACTGAAGCAATGTTATCAGGCGTATTGATGAACGAAAGAGAGGGAGCACTATTAGCCAGCACTTTCGACTCCGTAAGTGAGAAGTAAGTATAGTTTACACCGTTCAGGACAGCACCAAGAGAACTGTTGAGATGGATCCCTGTTCGGGTGCATGAAACAAAATGGAAAACTAATTGATAAAAGTCATCTATCAGCGAACGCAATAGCAAACTGAAAAAGTGATTAATTTATTGCTAAAAATAAAACCATCACCCTATTGAGGATTAGTGACATGCGCCTAAGATCTGCCATTCTGCGTCGAGAAGCATTTGTTCACTTCATTATTCAGTTTGTCTGGTCCCCATTATCTATTTACGTTTGCAACTGTTGGTAGTTTGTTAATACACAATGCTTTAATACAATCAGAGCAATGCAAAACTCTACCCAACTGGGACTTGTGATAAAAAATGCGACAATAAAGTTTCCTTGCAAATATACCACTATCTCCCAACTGGGGCAATAAGACCAGAAATAATGAGCGTAAAAAGGAATGCAGATTTATCAGGTCCTACGCTATCGCCTGTCCATAAGACATTCTTATGGTTAGGATCTGAGTCGTTCCAATGAAATTCTTCGACTAAAAATACTTTACAGAAAAGGTTGATGTGTTTAATTTCAAATTTTGCTTGAAGAAACAGGCTGCTAACCCTTCTGCAAGCATACGAGTTTGTCATCTGATCGTTGCCTTTGGCACTCGGCTACTGGCAGTAATTAGTGCATTCTTACATCCACCCTAATAAACACGCACTTTCTCATTGTGGATAACCAACTCAATATTGTCCGCAGTGATCGGTCGTAACAGGCTTAAGCATGTATTCACTTCACACGGGATACCGTGGACCATATAATGTTGCTTGGATTTGTTTTGACCCAGTACTTTGTCATTATGTGTTCTTCTATGAAGAAATTGTAACCTATAAGATTACTACTGGCTTTGTACGGTAATCGAACAGAACATCAGATTGCCTGCGGTGGTTTTACGGGTGCTTGAACTAGAACAAAAAACGATAATTCCCTGTTCTTGGTGGGCCATATTAGACTCCCTGATTGCTTCAAACGGAACTCAAGTGATTTACGATTGAACAAAGAAGGCATCATAACTGGATCGTGCACTGTTTATTTCGCGCTTCTATTCACTACCCTCATCCATCTAGTGTGCTTTTAGTCTTCATAGACCATTTCTTGTCTGTGTTAGGGTTTAGCTTCGAAAACATGTTTAGAAAGGAAAATTAAATTAAAAAACCTGTGACCCCAAGTGCGTGTGCATTGACCCCATAATTTTAAACAGTTATTTACTGGTTTACTTTAAGCACAGATGGATTCTCATCAGTGAACTGGAATTCCATATTTGAGAAAAAAAAATCAACTTCTCGAAACAATCATCAACAGGTATTCAATATCATATAGATATACTACTTACACATCAATTGCTGCCTGGTAATCACCCTTTTTGGCGTACACACGTCCAATATTATCCACCGCATGAGCCACGATTTCGGGTAAGTCACAACGCTTCCCGAGGGCATAAGCCTGTTCATGTGCCTCCAATGCCTCTTCCAAACGCTCCGATTCCAAATAGGATAGCCCCAGCATAGAATTCACATTGGCCAACACTTCCAATCGGTTGGGGCATTGTTCATCAGACCACTGACCGACTTCTGCGCGTAAAAGTTCAGCCAGTCTAATAGCCATTCCATGGTCATCCGAACGTTGGCCTATAAAGACCATGGTGGTGTTTTCATTGAAAAATTGGGGAATGAAATAATGATACCTAACTATCTTTATGCTTGTTAGCACTCATTCAAAACGCGAAACATCATTTCAGTTAACGCAACCATCATATGCACTTTATTGATTGGTCGATGTGTGATAGTGCTCCGATCGGACCAATCCAATTATCATTGCATTTGACTGGTCATCATTTTCACTTCATCTTCACTCATTTAATCTGGTTAATCATACACTCAGAAAACCCACTGAATTCAATTTCGCTTACATGACAAAGTTTATTGGTGCACATGATCTGGCTCATCCGTGTGAGCTTGTGAACACGGTGCGTTTTATTGGAGAACTTCAGTATTCAAACGCTGGGATGAACCGGTGGATAAGCACTACAAATGAGCTCTATCGGAGCGGGCTCGTATGCAGAAGAGATTTGAAGGATTAACAGTTGGAAATAAAGGTAACGTTACGTTACTACTCCTGAGTAGTTATAAATTAGAATGGAAATATTTCTCATTTAACTCAGTTACTTGTGAATAGTGGTGTGGGATAATTGATTTTTATTGATTTGAGTTGACTATCCTTCGGTTTTCACCTTCAGGCACAATCCTCATTTGGTGGGAGGCTTTCGATTAGAGTTGACAGTATGTCATCAGTGTCTCCCTTCGTTATTTTTGGGCCAAAATGTACTGACTATCACAGAAGATGACACATCAATTGGCAATTTGGTTCAGCCATGGTATGAGCTGGTTGGCACAGTGGTAACACACACACCTATCATGCGACGGGTCCGGAGTTCAAATCCCGGACGGGGCGGTGTATATGCACTACTGATGAGCTCCAATAAGAGCGAAACTCGAGTCTAGTGCTTCCGTGTGTGTGGTTGAATTGATGAGCTGAGGATTGTACGTGAAGGTGAAGTCCGAAGGATAGTCAGCTCAAATCAATAAAAATGGAAAAATTATTGTGAAACTTGTGGAATCAGTTTGCCTTTGTCCAAGGGGAACTTTGATTTGGTTGAACAAGGCAAAATATGGTGCGTTTAGAACAATACTGAATGTTCTGAGGATCAAAAAGGTTGTTTCTTCAAAAACAGTTTGCATTGCGGTTCTTTTATCAATGCATATATGTTTTACTAATTTAGCTTACAGTGTTAGCGTCAGAAACTGCGACCAACGTGACAATATGTATCAGCAATGACATCGGCCACCGTCTTCGTATTCTGCACTAACAAATAGAATTGACTGCTTTGTTCCAAATTGATCATGTTGTAAATGCTGTCAACGGTCGCTACCTGAAGTATCTATCGAGATTTTAGGCAGTTCTATAATGAAACAAAACAGTTGTCGTTAGAAGACGCACTCGCATTATTAAGCCACATACCGATGGAATACTCTTAATGTGAATGTTTTCACATTCGTGTGGCAAGTTTAAATATCAACACTAAGTTAGATTGCATTCGAACTGCTAAGCTTCAAACCCAATCAACATCCTACAGCTCAAAATTGTTACGTCAATTCCATCTTGATGAGAACCATGTGATTGAGAGGATTGAGGGGACAACTGGAGGCAAAACTAACTGAAAAACAGAGTGAGGTTAAAATGCTGGTGGTGGGTGCATCTGCAGACCATTGGACTCTATTTGATACTTACATGTATCTTTTCATTTTTATTCTCCTTGTCTTCCCTGTTCTATGGATTACAAAGTCCGATTGGTCAACAGTCGCGGTCATCGGCAAATAGCAATTAGATAACGAAACATAGCAAGATAGTTTGATTTCGCGCTGAAGTACACCCAAGAAGGGAGAAAACCACTTTGATGTTGCTTGGGAATCAGGTTGGTCTAGACCAATTTCGAATAACAGGACAGAATTTCACTAATTATCCCCTGCGTTTGCAGTGTTAATCAGCATACCGAGAAAATAAAAGCAGTGATTCAATAGACATTGAAAAAAGAATCAGACCATGTGTCGGACCAACAGGACTGATCCCTTCCATAACATTCAGACCATGGCTACGCAAACACACAGACAGTATCAATATCGATCGCGGACCCCCTAGGTGAAAAAATTAACTTACATTTATCGATTTCATGCAGCTTCTCCAAAACTTGATAGATAGTAAGACCCTGTCCCGTGGCTATGGCCGCTTTTTCTTTAGCTTTATCTCTTCTCAATGATCGCGGCTTTCGTCTAGCGTAGATTGGTCTTTCCTGATGCCAGAACTGCGAACGAGCATCCAGATAGTTTAAACCATTGCGAGCAATCTGTCTGACTTCTTCCGAACAGGTTGTTTTCCATTTGTTTACGGCTTTAGGAAAAATTCAAACAGGTCCGAGTATAAGTTGAAATTATGAACAAATTCAGACAAGGTAGCAAGAACTGGACAAGTTACTAAAACTATCACCGCCAGTTTTTATATGAAAATAGAATTGAGCCCACAAGTACCACAGACGTAAAACAACTCAGTGAGAAATATTTTGTCATGGTTACGAAATGAACTATTAAATATACAGATCTACAGTTAACTTTCAGGAAGGAGGCCTCGGCCATAAATGGACTGTCTGGGAAAATACAGGAATGGAGCAGTCGTTCGAACCGGGGTCTTTCTGATCACTGTTTTGATGACCTTAACTATTTAGCCACCACCTCCCAAGAGTGATAAGGAAGGCAAGTTGTTGTTGTTGTTGTTATCCATGTCAGACAGCAATCAAATGCACGATGTATTGTTGATGACGATAAGACATTCTTAAAAAGATCTTCATAAATCGTTTCTTCTTTTTATTCATTTATGAGGCGATTAGAGGACTGTGGCTGACATACCTACGCGTGAGTAGTAGTGCGATACGCATGAGCGCTCGTTCAACATTTGATTGAGGTGAACGAAACTGTTCCCGGTCAAACCCCGAGTGGATCACTTGACAGGGGGATAGGGAGACGTTATTGTGCATAAGTAAGCTTCATCATTGTCAAGTTAAGCTCCATTGGATCAACTGATTTCTGTATGGTTGATGCTGATAAAGTGACGAACTACTCCAAATTTCTCAGGCATTCAAGAACATTCAACAGTATAATATACCGGTGCACAAAGAAACATTAACCCATGTGTTTATGACGAGCACATATTTCAGGTAAACCCCACTTGAGATGTGTTCGAAGAGTAGTATGGTGCGTCCGAAAAAACCTGAACGACCAACAGCTGTTCACAACTCATTAAAGTATTATTACCGACTGGTGGGATAAAAGCTGTGAAGTCACCGCCTACGAGAAGGCTGTGTAGTTGCTTGTGCTATACTGATTTTAAGCAATCGAGAGTGTGTTGACTCTTCTCTACATATTGTGTGAAGGCCGAAACCCCCACCAGCTCAGAAGACGGGTGAGAAGATTAACACCAATATCATTTGACATCAATCATTCACCCTTAAACGAAAGATTATGACAATTTTTGCCTTGCTACAGTAGTAGTGGCGCTGAGTTCCTCTTCGAGTCACGTGCTTACTTGACAAGTACACGGTGCTTAACAGTTGTTTGCACGTAGTTTTTTTCCATTAGTGGACCCGGCTGATTCAGCAACTGGTTCGAACTTTATCAGGTTTCCAGTGTTATTCCATTTCGATTTGGAACTGTTGTGTCTGAAGGCTGTATTCTCTCCTAAATTTCTAGTTTTCGGAACATGGATTGTTTATTATTTATTTGGATTTTTACAGCAGTCATATTATAAATTCAATGATACTGGGAGAATGAGGTTGCAGTAAGGAAAACGCTGGTGTTAAACACTGGATTATGCGCTCACTTACAAAACACGAAATTGAGCAAGCCTCATTTTTGTATTCCAAAAAGTTGATAATAAAACAGAATTAAAATTTTGGGCTGATGAAGATAAACATTCCGCAGACTGCAGATAAAAACAACTTGAGCACAGAACGAATGAAACCAACGAAAGTTAAAACATAAATTATGTCCGTTGGTTACCTTTCCCATAAAATGCAATAGATGTCTGCCCGCGCCATGGTGTAGGCTTTTCCCAATCGCGATAGAGCTGCTCTACAGAGAATGACGCAACGCAATCAATTAAACCAGTCATAAAAATATAACCGAAAATACCGCTGCGAGAATATCAAACTTGTTTGCAAAATGTTTATTGGGAGAACAGAGGAGTATCCATAATTCAGTCTAACATAATATTTTAGTTCTGATGGTTCAATATTTTACTCGATATTACTCTCAACTCCATCTGTGTATTCATCAATGTCACTGTTTGTTCATCTTTTGTAATCAATCGGACACGTGTGCATCAATGATCTCCGAACGGGATCATATGAAAACTGTGTAACATGTAAGACCTCCAAAACTGCACATTTGTCTGATTATTTTAACCACGAGACTTCGTGCCTATCAATCAATTCCGGTATTTCCTCTCACACACGACCATTCTTACGTTCTTTTGTGGCTTAGTTTTTCTTCTCTATCACACTTTTACTTTATATGAAACGACCAATGCTTCAGGTGCATCCAAAAGGTTTGGTTTTCTTTCTCGTACTCAGCGCTTTCTCGTGCTTTCCTTACTCTTACTTCTCTTGAAGGCCGAAACACACTGCACTATTGGTCATCATAGTTCCGGTTGGGTTAGGCCTCATCAAATTACTTGTCTCTTCTTGATTAGACTCAAAGATAGACTACCTGCCTCACTGGGGATCTAACACTGATTCCCTTCATACACTCACTTGCCGATTACCAAATTGTTGATTCACTTTCCTTTCCTATTGCTGTCAACACGGTTTTTGTTTGTAGCAACTTGCATCTGCCATTCGAAATCTTCTTCCGTTTACTTCAAGGAACCCGCACACAGGCAGTAAGCGATTTTGTCCGTCCAATATGCTTCTGATTTTAGTTGTTTTTTCTTCCGAAAACCGCTAAGCTGTGAAAAGGCATAGTAATTATTATTATAATGATTTGAACACACTTGTTTTAACTTGGGATGCTCCACAAAACTGGTAGCGTGAACTTTGCATTAAAATGTTTCTCATTTCTTCCAATATGCTCGAGCGTGAATCATTCATTTCATTATGACCGATGAACGGTTCCTAGTATTACTTAGTTATGAAAATATCAAAATATGTGCCAGTGAACTACAACCAAAGGGTTGCAAAAACGCTACCTATAACCCGCTTGTGCAGTCTCTCACCATCGATGTGCTTACTCACCTTCTTGATGGATCAGGTTCTTCAGATATTCATGATCTTCATACAGGTAGCCGAAAAATGCTCTTGACTTTGCCGGTGGTAACACATGAAACGGTACATCATCTGACGTTTTATCCCTTTCTCCTTTCTTCCCGTTTTTGACCGTGGGTCGCTTTTGTGGTTTCTATTGTGGAGAACCGAATGAAAATGGCATTAGAATAGATTTGTTTATCATAAATGCGATTTAATAGGCAATGGACAACACTGCAGATTACTCATACAGGAATTGTTGGCCGAAAACTAATAAAAGACACCTGATGGCTCAAACTAGCCTGTCGATGCGGTTCTGGTTTGCGTTCTCACTAGAAAGGTTTGATCGAATTCGACAGGCTGAAGGTCTACAGCTACCTCCCCGGTTGCATCATCTTCCAGTTTCTTCGCTGACCAACGTAAAATTTACTGCTGAAAACGCCAGAGCAAAACTAATGGCTTCGCGACAAAATACAAAAACAAATGCACACAATATGCACAAGAAATCCCTTATGTTTTTCACGAATCACATATCTGAACCACTAGCCATTCTATTCCGACGGATCTTCGACCAAACAACCCTCCCAAAATCGTGGAAACAAGGAGTTATTTCACCGATACACCAAGGTGGCTGT